TTGCAACGTGGATGAGATTTTAATTTTAATGTTTAAAAGTGTTTTCAAAAGCTTCATAAGTAATTCTCTTTCAACAGTCTCTTGATATTTTACAAAATTTACATGAACATGTTTGCAACTTAGAAGAGACAAAAAAAGATGAGTGTGTTTTTGTGCTGCTATGAAGGCTTTAAACATATTGTGGCTTCTCTATAGGAACCATGTCAGAACATGCCCAGAGTGGCGATATGTGGACTTAAATAACTGCGCAGGTGTGTGTGTGTGTGTGTGTGCGAGTCACTCACCCATTGCTGTTTCTGCTGGCCTCGATTTTCCGCCTCCTGCTGCTGCTGGTACTTCCTATAACACAAACACATGAGGTTTAATATTAACACTCAGCAGGCGCTATCCAGTTGGCCAATGACCTTACATCAAAATGCAACATGGCTTAAATCTAATTATAAAAATGACAGTCTGACCCTTGGTGATCTCACAGATAGTCCATCTAAAAATGAAAATTCTCTCATCATTTACTCACCTTTATGTCATTCTGCAGAACAAACACAGAAGAAGATATTTAAGAAAAATGTTGGTAACCAAACAGTTTCAGGTCAATGGAATTCAATTTTTTGTCAATGGAAGGAACCAAAACTTATTGGTCACCAACATTCTTCTAAAGTGTTCCACAGAACAAAGAAAGCCATACAGGTTTGGAGCGACAAGAGAGTGAGTAAATGATGACAGAATTTTCATTTTTGGTTGGACAATCCCTTTAAGGACACTCAATGCCCAAGGTGTTTATTTGTTTAAATGTTTCTGACCTCTGTTCATCTATCTGTGATGCCCTCTCTTTTGCTCTCTTTTCCCGTAACTCCGCCTCCTTAACATCTCGGTCCTTCCTGTCTTTCTCTAGCCACTGCCTCTCTTCTGCTGCCCTTCTCTAAAAGCTATAACAAAACAACCTTTTTTCTTTAAAATGGTTACATTAATCATGTTTGTTATATATTTTTTAATCAAAGTGGAAATCACTTTACTAAGTAATGTTAACTTAACTGACTGCTTCACTTCCACTTTAAGACTTCTTTATGAAAATGACCTCTGTTATAATTAGCTATCTACTGTGTGCTAATAGAGTACATGAATGTAATACATTTTGTATTCAAATGCAATAAAAGTCCTCGTGCAAGATCAATGTTCACTACCGTTCAAAAGGTTGGATTTAATTTGTTTCGAGGATTTTTAAATGCTTTTGAAAGAAGTCAGTGCGAACCAAGACCTCATTTATTTGATCAAAAATACAGTAAAAACAGTAATATTGTGAAATATTATTACAATTGATTTAATATTACAAAATTTAATTTATTCCTGTGATTTTCAGCATCATTACTCCAGTCTTCAGTGTCACATGATCCTTCAGAAATCATTCAAATATGCTGATCTGCTGCTCAAAAAAACATTTCTTATTATTATCAATGTTAAAAACAGTTGAACTGCATAATATTTTTCTGGAAATAGAAATAGAAACAACAAAAATAAACTTATGAACAGTAGCGTATATATGTTCAAGGACTAAAAGCGGCACTGGACACTGCTCTGGTGCATTATGGGCAAAGCGTGTGTGTGTGTGTGAACTGACCACAGGCCCCTGCGGCCCGGTGTCTTTGAAGCGACTGGACTCTTTGTGAAAGCTGTAGTTGGCTCCTGAGGCTTTGCCCACTTTCTGCATGATGGCTTCAGGCTCCACATCCTCCTCCGCCCGTGCGTTTATGGTCACGTGAGCTCCCTGCAGAAACAGCGCTGTCAGTTTAATCCCACACACAGACATGTTCTCAAAACTCGCTTTAAACATGCGTACGAAACCATCAGACGGAAGCGTCAAGATTCACAGATTTTAAGCGAAACATGCCCACGCACACACTTCCATCAGTTCATTTATTAGCAACCTTTGGCTGTGTGTAAGCTCTTACTGATCATAAACACAGCTAGCTTAGACAGACAACAAAACATACAAACACCTTCTAATCAGAGGAGGCGGCCTCCACCCATTTCCCTGTTTACACCAATTTGTCTGATGCAAGCAAGTGATTGGCTCAAATAAACAGGAATCTTAATTCAAACATCTTTTCTCAATCAACAACTTCAAGCACTTTTATGTCCAAGGGGTTGATTTTTATCTAAATCAGGATGATATGGAAATCCAACCTATTTCATTTCTAAATGCATCTTATGCCAGATCTGCCGTCATCCAATCAAAACCCATCAGATAGAGTCCCTGCCCTACATTTTGTTCTTTTTTGATAATCCATTTCATTTAGATGTACATCACAATATGGAAGAAAACATCTACTTCCGCTAGTTCTGTTACATCGCAATAGTGGTTCCAACTTTGGGGAGCCCCAACTAATGGTTGGGGTTTGTTACAAAAATGCCACTAAAATTAAATACAAATGTCCCTAAAATTCAAGTTATAAGAGCAAAAAATGCCTCTTTATGAGTTCTTGTTTTTTTTATATATAACATATCACACAAGCAAGAATTTCAAGAATATCAGCATGATAGCAGGTATCAATAGTCTATATTTATCATTCAAAAGGAGAAACCGAAGCAAGGATATATGAAACATAAACAAAGCAGCGCTTGCTTACCATTTTGATTATCAGTTATGTTGATAACTAATCATTTTAAGCGACTCATGTTGTTAGGAAAACATTCGTGTATTGGAGTGCTCGGGTAAGATTAACATTAGAACAGCCTTCTGTCTGTGCCGTCTTGATTTACTCGCTCGCTTTCTTCACGTTCGCTTTAATTCTTGCACACTGACTCGTTTGCTGAACTGAACATCCAATCAGAGTTCCCACTCTCACTGTCGGCCCGGTGCCGATTCAACATGCTGAATTGGGCAAATTGCCACCGATGTGAGCCCGACGTGTGGAACACACTGAAAAAACTAGCCCGTCAGACACTCGAGACAGCCGACTACACAGCCTTTAGACAAAATTCTGTCAATATTGTCTATATTTTGCCAAGAAAAATTGTTCCAAACAAAGCCACAGCAGAGCCGTTGCGGGTCTCTGAGAAGCATTCAGTGGCGTTCCATTACTAATTAATCCATGTTTTTAAACCAGCTAGTTGAGTGAATTATTCAATGACCCATTCGTAAATACAGCCCAACCCTCTACATTGCGAGTAAATCACTCGCATATGCGACTAAATCTTCACTCTGGGCGACTAAATGATGTCTAATATTAGCCAATTGCTAATAAATTCTCAGATTTTACTCGCCAGTGTGTGAGTGGGACACGTCCTGGCCAGGATTTTTATATTGCCTAAAACATCCAAAGTAGTTTGACCAATAACGTGCAGGTATTGTATATAATCGACCAATCGTGGCGCGTGAGAAGGTGAGATCTACAGAGAACGATCAATAGATGCAAATACGCGCACGTGTTTGTTCGTTCATTCGACTTGAAGCGTCGCTGCGCACCGATCATTGAATGACACCAAAGTACCACGAGTACCACGACACCAAAGTACCACGATTCGAAAGCATAAGGAGCCGTCTGCTCTGCTCTCTATAGCTCTCGTGAATGTCATACAATGATCGATGATCTGCACAGTGCAAACAGCCAAAACCTGGATATTTTAGGCAATATAGAAATCCTGGCAAGGACGCGTCCCATAAATGTTTTTTATTTTATTTTATTTTTACATTATTTTATATTACTATATTAAAATGTTCATATCTAAAAAAAACAATCTCATAAAATTACTTATGAAAATGTAACTCCAGTATAAATGCCTCTGAGCTGCATTAAACAAGTGAAACTTGAAAGAAGTAGTGTTAATGTCGTCAACTAAAAGTATGACGAAAAATGTTCGTTGACGAGCTTTTTTCCCATGACAAAGACGAGATGATGATGAGATGACAATAAGGTCAATAAATGTTAACTGTGACTTTATCAACATGCAATATCTTTGACAAAAAAATATGAGACTAAAATGTATTTAAAAAAAAAATAATTATACCAAAATCTCTTTTTATTTTTGGCAAAAAAAAAAGAAGACAAAATATTATTGCGGACTGTTGTACACGCCTCTCTGTGGTTGCCAGAGCTTCTCTGTTAAAATTATACATTTTCTTACGTAAACCGCGCTTCCGGACGAAAACGGCCGTAGCTCGGAAACCGAAGCTCGCTGCGGCTCCTGACTCCAGGTGGTGGCTCCTCCCTGGGGGCCCCCTCGGACCCCCACGGTCCCGAGCCTCCGGGACACTCGCTGCCAAAGCGAAACATAATAATATAATAATATAATTTTGCTTATTTTTATGCAGTCTGGCAACCAGGCGCATGCTCTCGTTCTTCATTACGGAAGCACCAACGATGATCTGAAAACACTGATAAGCAAGTAAGCTGGAGTTTATTGATCTCCATATGAGATGTTCGGCTTAAATGAAAGTGTCATTCAGCCGGTCTGTGTTCTGTCATGAGATCTCGACTATTTTGTTTGCGATTGTGGTTGCTGAATAAATGCACTTACTCAACCGCTGTTGTTTTAATAGAGAAACATGGAATTACTAATAGGAATTTTACTGTTAAAATATATTTTGTTTGTTTTTGCCTGTTTTCATAATGAAGACAGAGAGAGTGCCTATAATAAGTCTTTGATATTAATTTATATATTAGCCGATAATAAATCAGTACACTAGATATAAAATAAACCATGTGTATGAGTCCACATTCTACTGATTTGTGCTTATTGGTGAAAGTGCAATATCTGAAATGTAAAAATAAATCTCAAATGACAATAATCTTTTCGATTATAATTTTGAGAAAAAAAAAGATCAGTTTAATATTATACAGCATGAAGAAAATGTGACGAAAAGTTTTCATCGACTAAAACTTGACTAAACAAAAACAGGACAAGGCTGACTAAATATGATAACTAAAAAGTACATTTGATACCAGGACTAAGACTAAATTAAAAACGGCTGACAAAATTAACACTTGACATAAGTCTATGCTTCTTCTGTTGCACCTTTGAAGTGCAAAGATAGATTTCAAAGATACTGATTTCGTTTGATTGATAAGAGCCTATAGTGTATTATTCTAACTGAACTGATTGATTCACTTTAAAAGTTTAACATGAAAGATGCATACATTTATAAAAGTTAAACAAATTCCATTATAAAGGTAAAAAAAGCTCCTAGAAACCAACTTAATTGGGTTAATATCACCCCTTAATGGGAAAGTGAATTTCTGCTTTAAATTTGGACCAGCTGTAATTCATATTTAGACACAGTAAGAGCTTGTGGTCGGATGTTGTAACGCTCTGCATAACTACCAACAAAGCCAAACCAAACGTGTCTGGATATAGCCCATGATGTCATATCCTGTTGTGAGAGGCTAGCCTGCACAACGCAGCATTGTGAGTCATAGTCAAAGTTCACAGACCGTTAACTCTATCACACAACCATACACACTATTCACAATACTCACACACCGAAAAGAACGACAAAATAGCCCGGGTACCTTAAGAAAGTTAGCGATGGAGCTCACATGATTTGCACACTGGCCTTTTCTGGCATCTTTAACACCCTCACCGGTCTGAAAAAAAAAAAATGTCAATTTACATGACAGTAATGGCATATACTGTATAACAACAGTTATTTTTGCTGGAAATTTAACAAAGAAAAATAGTTTATATATCGAATAACCAAGTGGTAATGCTTATTTTAAGATAATCCAGTGAATAAATAAAATATGCCATCATGCGGTCCAAAATGCTGATTTTTTTTTATATTGGATTTGGTGCATAGGAGCTAAACGGATTCATAAATACATTTGACAGAGGTACTTTACTGCAGCAATAGGGTCAATAAATCCCAAGGGCATCTTTGCGGCGATATCCAGTCAAGAAACAAAATCAATGTGAAGAGCTACAGGAAGTTCAAAACTCACCCAGTTGATGAGGACGTATTTGGGAAGGCCAGAGTTGGGGTCTTTAACGCGGCAGAAAGCGTACATCACCTTCCCGCTGTTCAGCTCCTCGACCAGCTCCTCCAGACCACCATCTGAAATCACACACAACACACACTCACGCCACAAATCATGCTGTCCTCATGCAATCAGTACTGAACTCAAGTTTTGGTGTAAAACCTTTAAAATAATTCTACATAAATAGATAAATCTGACAACTGAGGATTTACACATGATGTTATGAAGACTTTTGAACGGTCTCAAAATACTTTGTAAAATAAATGTACTGTCTTTCCCATTTCTCACACCCATTTTCGGGACTGAATTTCGTTTATAAACATAAAAATTCAAATTTACTCATGAAACATCGCCGTAAAAATGTTCATGTTTTTCATCTGAAAGTGAAGGTTTATGAAAGTAAAAAAAAAAATAAAAAAAAAAATAATAATAATAATAATAATATATATATATTGTTTGAAAACATTCCAGAATAATGATGTTGTTTTAAGTTGTTTTGTTAGAAAATGAATATATAAATTTGTACTGTTAAGCTCAAAGGAACTTCAGAGTTTATACTAGTAATTCGTAGTAGATATTCTTATAACATTAATATAATGTTATATTTTAATAACATTTCTCATGAATATTAAAAAAGTATTTTCTTGCATCAATGTTTTTCCTCTAAAATTTGAAATCAAGATTTTCACAAGAATTCCATTTCAGTAATTGAGGTAAATGTAGTATTAGCATGGTAATAATATAGTAACATTCAAAACAGTGTCCTTTTTGTTGTTGAAAAATATTCTAATATATATATTTTAGAGGCTTATGTTCCACCGGGTCCAAACAGGCATGGGGATGCAAAAATCATTCGCAGATTTTACAAGCATTATGAAAACAGTAAAAAAACTAAACAATGCCTATTAATCAGACCAGGGTTATTTAAATATTAGCTGAACACTCTCAGGCGGTACTTCAAATAAATATTTCATATCAAATGGCTTAAACAATTTGGGAATCCCAATATATAATTTAATAGTATATATATATATATATATATAAACTGATTCACAAAGATTTTCTCATTTTTATTGTTCACTGGAGTTTAATGCAGAGGCTGTGCATTAGTGATTTTAGCACATAACACCTTTTTTTTTTTTTTTTTACCAAAGTTAA